TTACCTTTGTGTATTTTTTTTTTACATATGATTTATATGCATTATTTTCTAGCTAGGTCCCTAAGCGGCTTTTATGATTTATATGCATTATTTACCTTTGCGTATTTTTTTTCTGTTAAAAAAATATATATAGATGCTTTTTTTTTTTGGGGTGAAGAATATGGAGATGCTTTTCGAGTGTAAGAAGTGGGATCAGGGCTTTTTGATATATAGGATTAAACAAACTTTGTGCATAATGTACCAGGCTAATATAAAAAGAGATTTGATATTTAAAATTAAATCCATACGAGTCTTAGTATAATTCATAGCTTCATTCTGAAAAGAATAGGCATTAAATATTTAATTTGTTAAGTATTTTTCAAACAAAAAGTTACAATCACTGATTTTTAAAATTATATTTATCATTACTCATCAAAATAATGAAATTTACTATTTATATGGCATAAAATCTATCTATTATTTATTATACGCTACATCTAATTTTAAATATAAGATATAATTGTAATGCAATTTACACTATAAACTAGATTTATATTTATAACTAAAATATATACTCCTAATATAATAACAGTAGAACCTAAAGCAGTCTTCTTAGGCGGCCACATCAATCGACTCACAGAGTACTAATGAAATAATTTCAAATGAAAATCTGAAATATTAAATTAAAAAATTTCCAATTTTCACAAACACACACTCTCTCGTTATTATTATAATTTTTCACTTTTGCAAATGTTTTAAATATCAAGTTAAACAGAAACCTAAAAATCTTATAACTTCCATAGCCCCATATAATTAAATCTTTGAATATTTAGACATATGGTACTACATACAATTCTAAATATCTGATTAACTTGTGGTGCAAATTGCATTAATGGTATCGGAATCACTCCTTTCTGAAATTATTCGCCACATAGTACAAAACACTAATTCAAATTCAAATAAGTAACAATGACTCAAATATCACATGTATGAGCTTGTTTGACATAGCTTTAAAAATTACTTATAAACACATTTTATGTAAGTTATGATAAATTTTTTTTACATATTTATCTCATATTTTATAAATTATAAATAAAAAATTATTTATAAACTATTTCAAACATATCGTATTAAGTTGGGTTGACATTGACTTGCGAGCACGACTAGTCGACTAGATGCATCAGTATCTAGTAATACAAGAAAAATGTTTGATAAAATCAACCACAGCGCTGCATATAATGAAATAGTTCAGGGCTTTTGTCCTCCAGATGCCATGAATAAGATTCTCACAGGAGATGAAGGGTCCTTTGATAAATATTATCAGTAACTATTTGCCAATAAAATTTGATTTATTTGCATAGTATATGAAAATTTCTAATTTAGTTATAAATACTTTGCTACGACAAAATAATATCTAAAGATGATTTTTTAGCAAAGTAATAAAATAGTTCAAAAACTAAGAGGATGCTTTTACAAATAAAAAAGACATAAAATGAAAAATTATAAATACTTTTTAAACCATCATGATCAATATATAATAAATATAAGCATTTTATTTTTTTTTGTAATATAACTGCATTTAGGAGTAATCGAAGAAAATTTGATAAAAAGTAGGGAAGATTTCAAAAAAACAAAACCTCTTGAATTTTAAAATTCCAAAACAATATTGTTTATTGTACTTTAATAATAATTGACTGACACTTAAAAAGTACATGACAACACATTTTTGTATTAATTTCTGATTTTGGATTTTAAAAACCAATAGGTATTTTTTGGTAATTTTTCCTAAAAAGTATAAATGTATAATAATTAAATTTGCGAACGTTAAATAAGAGCTTCCTATGTATAATAAACAAAAAGTCTTATGACTTGGTTCGTAATTAAAACTGAAAAAAAGGTTATGTATCGAATAAAAGTGATTCCATCCACTTTAGAAAATATAATCCCAACTTAAAATGAGAAGAGAGAATTATAATGACGTTTTAAGAAAAAATAATTACTAATCAATCTTAATGATAAGTGAGTAATTGTTATTTTTTATCCTATAATTTGTTATTGTAGGCTGTTTTTTCGTCATTAAAACTTTTAATAATTATGTTTCTTATTTAAGACTCTATGACAAAGTGCATCTACGCATAAATTATTTTCATTATAAATTTATTTTACTCAAAAACAAAAGGACAAAAAGGAGGTGTTTAGCAGGATTTTGTAGTCCACTTTTGTGATTTTGAGTGTTTAGATTTTCCTGAAACATCGTTACGGACCTGATCCAGCACCGGACAGCCCATGGGCCCCATTAACATATCTAAACCGAAAACTGTTTTTCTTGGTGCTCCTAAATGTTGTAATTTGTTGAAAGAATTTTCAAAAAAATATCTTTAAATTTTAAAATTTTAAATTAGTCTTATTTATTATATTTTAATAATAATTAATAATATTTAAAAAGCAAATGACAACGCATTTTCTTCTCCATTCTTGATTTGAAATTTTAAAATTTTAAGAGATATTTTCTTGAAATTTTCCTAATTTGTTTACCATTTTTAAATATCTATAAAATTGAAAATTATTAATTCAAGACTTAGCTGTAATTTTGTTTCAAAGTTTATATTACTACTTTTTTTAATTTAAACACTATTTTTTAATTTTTTTTGCTGGCATATAAAGTTTTTAACTTTCATTCACAGGCCAACTAATTCGGTCAACATAAAATTCAGGCAAAAGCGTAACCGATAACACCAAACTAAATTATTCAACCCACTCCCACGCTCTTTGGGCCTGCGTGGACCACAACAACCCTTTTCCATATGACGGGGGAAAACAATTTGAGAGAGATTGTTAAATTTTGTCAAGTTTCTCACGTCAAAGACTACAAATATGTTATAAAATATTTTCTTTATAAAAAGAATCAGAAAAGGCACTGTACCTGAAATTGAAAACTACAAAAACTATTTCTGTAAATACATACTCCTCTTTTTCTTTTTCCACACAATCTCATTTGAAGCACTAAATATGAGTATTTCTTTTAAAGAGAATTTAAATTTTAGTTCGCCACGTTATGATTTGGAATCAGCTCTAACTTTTATTGATAAATACATATTTCTCTGAAACAATAAGATTCTTTATGAGTTATGAAGAGAAGAAACCAACAAAGCAGAAATGTTCACTTTTAGAATTCGACTTATATATGTTAAAATATTTTTGTATTATTGAACATATGAACTCTCTTTTTTATAGAAAAATATCTACTTTTTACATTTTGGTATTATTATCAAATACAATTTATAAAAATCATATTAATATTATCTACTAGTTATTAATATTGCTGTCATTTCTTATGCATTGTCTAGTTGGAAGGTTTTGAAAGGAAGGGAGGGGAGAAGATGAGAAATTGTGTTTGGTTTGAAAAAATGGAGGGAAGGGGAGGATAAAAATTTTGTTTAGTGCTCATCTCCTCTCCTTCTACTCCTTTCCAAATATGGGAATTTTTGAAAAAGAGTGAAATGCTATATCTCACCTTAACTGAATTATTCATATTAGTTTTTAAATATTTAAAGTTTATTCTTTTCAATAAAAACTTTTTTTAACTCTTTCAGCATCTATTATTTTTAAATTTCAAGTTTTTTTTAGTAAAAACCCTTTTAAATGATATTTAATAATGATGATATAATATTTTTTATGATATGTATATTTTTAGAGATATGTAAATATTTTATACACATGAGATAACTTTGTTTTTTTTGTATTCATAAATTACAAAATAATAATTTTGATATAAATATAGAAATAAATAATAAAAAATAAGTACATATTTGTCAATTTATAATTAGTTCTCCTCCCCCTTCCTCAACCAAACAAGAAACATTTTCTCCTCTCTTTTCCCCTCTAACCAAACAACAGTCATAACCTCCTCTTACCTTCACTCACCTTCACCCCCTCCCTCCCATTGAACCAAACAAAACTTGCGGAGCTGAAGGTGCCTCACCTCTGATCAATCGATCCATATACCACATTATATACAAGTTTTAATAAGCGATGCTAATTATAAATAGTATTATTCATTAATTTAAATGAGTATAATATATTTTTTAATTATATTTATGAGTTACTTTCAACATGTTTTATCAGAATTAAGAAAAACCTCAAATCTTATTAATTGTCTTAAAATTTAATAATTTTATTTCTATTTAACATACACTTAAAAAATTACAATCTATACAATAAAATAATATATTTATCCTAACAGTTTAATAAATTAACTTATATTACTAGAGGAATGCCACTCTTTTTTTTTTAATGATAAGTCACTTGTATATAAAGTGTTTGATTCTAAATATTAGTCATTGATAAGGTCGTTTTCTAATTTTATCTTTATTTATTTTTGTTAAGGAAAAAAAAAAAGAAAAGAGAGGTGAGAATGATTTGTAAATATAAAGGAAGGAAAAAATTTTGATTGGGGTAAAATTGAAAAAAATTATCAATTTAATACATTTCTTGATATATAAATAAGTATGTGTCATAAGTTACTTATAATAAGTATGAGGGTAATATGATTTATATATGAGTTAATATGATATTTAGTTTCTTAAATTTTAAATAATAGGTTTTAGTTTTTCAAGTGATAAAATAATTTAAGTTTTTATTGAATTATAGAGATTAATATTTTAATTAAAAATAAACTTGAGAAATAAAAATCTATGATTTAAAATTTAAAATCCGAGGGATCAAAATAAAAATAAAAACAAATTTAAAGATTAACAATTCCATTAACATTTTTATTTATTTATTTATTTAATTTTGTAAAGTCTTGAGGGAACAGGCGAGGGAGCGAGGCGCTAGAAGATCAGCGCGTGGGGACAGAAATTCTGATACATCAATTTCAATGGGGCCAACTGCCATAAGGCCTATTGCCATGGGGTCAGACAAGGTCATTGGGTTTTCCCCCAGCTTTTTTTAGAGCTTCGCATCTTGTCGTTGCTGCTTCGCTTTTGCTTGCTTCTCTTCACACTCACTCTTCTACAAAATCATTCCTCTCCTTTCATTCCTCTTCTCTCATTCTCTTCCTGTTCCATACCGTTTCATGTTTCATCTGAATCACACTCAGTAGTAGCCTATTTTCTTTCCCATTTTCCAGAATCGCCCGGACAAAAAGATGCCCTCCTCGTTTCTCTTCACCAGTGTCTTAAGATCTCCCGCTTTCCTCACGTCCCCTTCCGCACAAGTTCCCCATTTTCCTTCTGCTTCTGCTTTCAATGCTGGTCATTGTCATCTTCCATACCCATTGCCACGCATGGGTTAAAGAATGTGGGTTTCGTTGTTTTGGGACTTGGGAGATCTTTCAATCAAATCCTACCAAGTTTTCAGCTTTTCTGGGTTTCGTTCAGCATCCTTTCGCTGGTCGCAATGCAATTAGGTGGATTCACTTTTGACCTGTTCATTTGTTTGTGGGAATTATTTAATGGTTTTTTGGGAATGGTGATTAGCATTATATTAAAATTATGGCGTTTTTTGGTTGTCTGTCCTTTCCTAAATGGGATTCCATTTGGATAAACTATTCTATGGGAAGTTGGGAATCGGGTAATAACTAGACATTTTGCCCCAATCAATGTAGCTGTATATTCCTCTTCTTTTCATTTTTCGGGCTCTCCGCAATGAGATCGGATTAAGCACATTAATTCTGATGATTTTTGTGATGTATTTCAATTCTCTTAAATACATGGATGATACATTTTATTGTTCTTCTGTAAGTCTACATATATTCAGCCTCTTGATGATGTAGCGTTTTACAACTCTGTCCAAATCGCAAGCTTGGACAAAATGGTCAATGATGATTAAGCCTATGAAGTTGTCCCCTAAAATCCTTTGATGTTGTCATTAGTTTTGCCGGAGGACGAAATCTATTTAACCATCCTGGTTTATGATAAAGTATTGTTTCTTATTATTACTTCAACTACAACATCGGTATACAGCATTTTGATTTGCTTCATAGTGAAGGTTTTAGATGGTTCAGACGTGGCCTGTATTAAAATCTGATGCTCTTTGTTGCATAAGTTCCTTCTGTGCTGTCTATTCTCCAGACTGTGCATGCATTGAGAAATACCATATTTTTCAAGATACAGATTTTCTCACTTTCAAGGAATTCGGAGTACTTCATTTGATTAAGATATAATTGTACAACTGTTAATTAGATTTATATGGTGCATAACATTATTGATTCTGTTCATCAGGTTATCCGCAAAATGATTTGGACTTATCTCCTGGAAAAAGCTTGGATGGAAGTTTCAGGAAGTCTAGTTCTGGTTTGCATCAATAACTCTTTTCTTGCTTAGATTATTTCCCCTGTATATAGTTTAGGATATTCTCTGTGTCTACTTATGCAAGTTGCAGCGTATTCATTTTTGGATTCTCTTATGAAAAATTAGAAAGTGATCCGTTATTGTATGAGAAAATTGACAGGCGAATATTGTTGCTTTAATTGTTCCAAATTCTAATAAGTAATAAATCATATTGCTTAAGAGTCTTGATAATTGTCGGTGGAAAGAAGTTTTGCTGCTAAACAAGCTTGTACTAGTCAATGCACATCCACAAGTTCTCCTTGTTCAGTTTGTAAACTTGTGCATCATGCTTCATTATCTCAGTATTTTTACGGAATGTAACAGCTGCACCATTCAAGCCATCCTAGGACTATTTTTTTTTGCGTTCTAACGAATAGCTACAATTCCTATTATTGATGAGTAGTGAAATGGTTTTCCATGTTGCAGTTATCTCAGCTGCTCATAGTGTCTCTGCAACTTCAGGAACTAGCAAGTTTGTTCCTATTTCCAGAAGAGTATACAGAGGGCTCAAGGACTGTGGAAGAAAACTTCTTGACCTGGATATTTTCACACAAAATCTCGAGGATTGGGTTTTGGAGAATCTACATGCTAACTCAGAGGAAAGGAAGCAATATTTCAGTTCTCCCTTCACAACCAGTGAGTTGCGTAAGCTTGATTTGGCATTGGAGGGGGTTTCATTCCAACAACTGGTACGAATGCCAAACTCCTCTGAAGTTTCTGATGATCTTATTGAAGATCATCTCATTGAAGATCAGTATCTAGCAGTTGAAGACTTCCTTCACGCCACTATCATTGGCCTCTGGCGTACATTTTGGCATAAAAGCGGGCCTCTGCCACTTTTTGTGTCTTGTACCTCTCATCCTGGTTCCAAGTTCTACAGTGTTGAAAAGGCAATATCAAGGGGAAGGCTTAAGGAACTGCGTGGCTTAGCTCTGATGGCAAAAACTGGGTGTGATTTGAAAGCTAGATGGGATCAAGTGGTGTCATTTGCATTGTTTAGGCCTGAAGTAATATCAGAAAATGGGCTGAGAATTTCTTCTCGCACTATATGTGAAGCTCTATTTTATGGTTTCCATGTTCTTGTTAATCGTAGTTTGAGCAAGATTAACTCTGTCAATAGTGATTCTGTCTTCCTTCTAGTTGTAGATTCCAAGCATGGAGGGGTCGTGAGGTTGAGTGGTGACCTTGGCAAACTTGATTTATTAAACTCCAGCAATCCGTACCAATCTGTGGCTGAATGGATCAAAACCTGTGCTGATGTTGGTGTCACCCCAGCAGAATCAATATGGAACCGACTAGGAAATGCAAACTGGGGGGATATGGGAACCTTGCAGGTACTCTTGGCAACTTTCTATTCTATTGCTCAATGGAGGGGGCCGCCAAGAAAGTCAGTAGCTTCACTAATCTCAGATCATGGCCTTCGCCTTCAAAAGCGCAGAACCGAGTGCTGTATTATTGAGAGTGAAAATGCACTGATTCCTTACCAAGGATCAGCTAACTATGAAGCTGGAGAGATTGTTGAACTCGACGAGAATGATTTCTTTCTTAGGAAGCAAACATCACGCCTGAAGCTTAAGCAGGGCGAGTATTGCTCTTGGAAGATCCACAACAAGGTCAGAGAAGTTTCCAGATTCAGGAGTCTGTTGTAGGAGGGAACTATTTTCTATATAGTGCTGTCTCTCTTGATCATCCCTCAGAGTTATTGACTTTATATGTGGGCGCCCATCCCTCTAGACTTGAGCCTTCTTGGGAGGACATGAGTCTCTGGTACCAAGTACAACGTCAAACAAAAGTCTTAAATATTTTGAGGAATCAAGGAATCAGAAGCAAATATCTGCCGGAAATCATAGCCTCTGGTCTGATTTTACATTCTGGTCCCTGCAAGAAGGAGAGTCCTGGAGGAAGGTGCGATCACCCATGGTGTGGGACCCCCATACTTGTTACGTCTCCGGTAGGGATGCCACTTTCATCTGTAATTGCTTATGAAGGTCAGTTCTCAGCTGATGAAGCAATTCGCTGCTGCCGGGACTGCTTAGCTGCTCTAAGAAGCGCAGCCATGGCTAATGTCCAGCATGGTGACATTTGTCCAGAAAATATAATACAAGTTGCTGAACAACATGGTTTCAAAAGTCGATATGTCCCCATATCTTGGGTCGAGCTGTGTTGGAAGACAGGGACAGCCCTGCCATAAACTTGCAATTCTCATCATCCCATGCTCTTCAACATGGGAAGCTGTGTCCCTCATCTGATGCAGAAAGCATTGTCTATGTCCTCTATTTCATTTGTGGAGGGACGATGCAGCAACAAGACTCCATAGAATCTGCTCTACAATGGAGGGAAAGAAGCTGGGCGAAGCGAACAATACAGCAATATCTTGGGCAGGTTTCTGCAATTTTGAAGGCATTTGCTGATTATGTGGATAGCCTTTGTGGGACGCCATACCCAGTTGATTATGATATATGGCTGAAGAGGTTGAATAGAACTGTGGAAGGATCGTCAGATAGAGGTAAAATGATTGAAGAAGCGGCCATAACATTGAGACTAGAGGATGCTGCAGAGTCTTCTGGAGCTTTTGGGCCTTGATATGATGCTAGAAAGGCTGATTTTTTATGTTTGTTTTTGTTTTTGTAAATTGGAGATTGGAGATTGGAGATTCAAATGCATTATTAGATTGTCATGTTGTGTAGGGTTGTCAAGTATCATTTTGGCAGCATTTGGGAAAGGTATTTCTGGGGATTGGTTACTGTTTCGTCTGATGGAGAGTTAACAACAAAATTCAAGTCTGTGTGAATAACTGAGTCAATGTATGCTAAATTTCACTATCAATTTCAATACATGTTGCTTCTTATTTGGAAGCATGCCGAGGGTTCTGAAGTGGACGAAGTTGGACCGAATGTGTTGTGTGCGCTCTGATTTTACTGTGTTGTTGCTTTTTGGGAACTTAAAAGAGTTTTTTTTTTTGGCCAAAGGAGCTTAAAGAGTTTGGTCCTCCTCAAAAGCAAACCAACCTCTCTCTCTCTCTCTCTCTGTCGGACGTGTTGCGACTATTTCTCTGTTTTTTTCGGTTTTATGTTCAAACTCACCTTTAATTTTAAAAAACGTTTTTCGTTTATTAAAAAAGATAAAAAGATTTAAATGGAAATTACAAATAAAGACTTTAATATGTAAAATTGTGATTTGGAATCCTAAACTTGAAAAATAGCAATTAAAGACCGGGTCCTATTTTTATAAATATGAAATGTGGGTGAAATGTTTGAAACACTTTTCAGTCAAATTGTGATTTGGTCTACTGAAGTTGTTATTTACTAAAATGAACTTGTCATTTTTTATAATCAACTTGTCATTTAGTATACTTCCAAGCGAGTTGTGATTTGGTCTACTGAAATTGTTATTCGCTAAAGTAAACTTGTCATTTTCTATAATTAATTTGTCATTTGGCTGAGAAATATTTCAGACGTTTCACCACGATTTCATATTTGCAAAAATAAAACCGGGCCCTTACTTGCTATTTTCTAAATTAAGGTCCCAAATCACAATTTTACATATTGGGGTCTTTATTTGCAATTTCTCCACTAAAATTTCAAATCAAGCTAGCATTTATTTATTATAAAGGACAACGAGTGAAAATTATTACTATTCTTTTGAAGGGCTAAGCGGGTGTCAACTACCCATTATACCTTCATAAAATTTTTTTCTTAAAATCCTTTCTTTTCTGTCCTCATCAATTAGTTTTTTTTTTTTTTGGACTCAAGTCCTCATCAATTAGTTTGAGACATTTTTCTTTGAAACTAGAAATTTTCCAACCATTTGTTGATCATTTAAAAAAATTGCGATTATAATTTCATGGTCATTTATAATAAAAATAAATTAAGAAAAATTAGTCGAAAGTCTTTAATTTAAAAATTAATTGTGCATAGGTACCTAAAATTTGTTTAAAGATCTAGCTGTAATTTTTCTTTCGTAGATGGAACTTTTTAGCTGTATATAATATATTTTCAGTTGTGCGTAAAACGTAAGACGTTTTTACACAGCTGAAGATATAGCGCACACAATTGAAGAAGAGTCACATCTATATCGAAAGATTAATACTTTAAGTATTTTTACAGTTACGAAATTAATTTTTTAATTAGGAGCCTCTGACTGTTTTTCAAAATATTAGTACAAATAGGTCTTTCATGAAAATTTTCCTCCCATGAATTCATACCCTAACAGAATTGTTAAAAAAAAAAAAAGAAAGAGAAATTACCATAGGTTCATATAAGAAAAATAAAAACATAAATTTTCTTAATTTCATTTAACACTTCTATATTGACAAGGGAAAATAAGTTGATGAATATTAATACAACAACAACAAAGTCTTATCCCATTAGGTGGGGTTGGCTACATAAATCACACGACGCTATTGTGCTCTATCAACAATCCAATCCTTAGATATGTTGTTGACCAGGAGGTCTCGGTCAATAACTTTATTGAGTGTTCTTTTCGATTTTTCTCTGTCTCTTTTTATGGGACTCCATATTGTCTGATTTACCCTCCTCATCGGGGCCTCCAAATGCCTTCTTTGTACATGTCCCAACTACCTTAAGTGATATTCAACAATTTTCTCTTGGATAGGCGCCATGCTGACTTTTACTTTAATATTTTCATTTCAAACCTTATTTGTTATTGTATGACCATATATCCATCTCAACATCCTCATTTCTGCTACCCCAATTTTGTGCTCTTGTTTTCTCTTTATTGCCTAATATTTACTACCGTACAACATAACTGGTTTTATAGTAGTTTGATAAAATTTTCCCTTAAATTTTTCAGGTACCTTTTTATCACAAATAACTCCGGTAGCCTTTCTTCACTTTAACTAGCCATCTTGTGTTCTATAAGAAACGTTTCCATCAATTTCACCATCCTCATGCGCAATGGATCATAGGTATTTAAACTTTGATACTTAAAGAATAATTTGATTCCTCATCTTCACTTTCAAATCACCATTACCTTATCTCTCCCAAAATTACAAAACATATATTATGTTTTATACTTGCTCAAACAAAAATCTTTTGACTCCAAAATCCTTCTCCATAACTCTAAACTAAAGCTAATCTTTTTTTTTTATTCTGTCATAAGAACTATGTCATCAACGAAAATCATGCAATTAGGTTGATGAATATTAATAATATCTAAATTAATTATCACTATTTTAATTCTTGTCGTCATTTGATAAGGTAAAGTTAGTGTTAAACTATTGTTTTCACTGTATTTTTTCAAATTTAGAGCATCTAGGTAATTTTTCCTTATTATTTAATCTCAAATTAACCCTTGGAAATTCCGTTAGGCATCTTGGGATCTAAATTGAAATTTGCATATTTGAGGGATGCTTGCGTGCTTCCCCAATATTTAAGTATACAAATAATAAATGATTTTCCGGGCAAAAGATGGGGAGGCTGACGCGATGATGCCTTGCCATGGGGCGATGGAATTTCTTCCCTTGCACGCCTTTCGACCGTTTTAGAAGAGCGTGTCGTCTTCATAAACCCCTTTCATCTCTCTGAAGTGCTGGGCCCTAAAGGCCTTTTTTGATCAAGAAACTAATGCTGATGGGGGAGCCGGCAGAATGCTCTGTAGCAAAATCCTCAGATGAAATTTGGGCTAAACTTGGTAAGCATACAATTTGAATTTCTTCTTGGGTAGTTTACACAATGCATGTAAAAATCAGAGCCAGATATGCTACCCCGAAATTGGTTATCTCCCTTACTTGAATCGGATTATTTTGAAACCCTTTGCAAATTATAGGGACCGGAGGGGGATTGGAAAAGGAATGTTTTTTCTCCATTTATTGGCTACAGCGGCAAAGATTCTATTTTCTTATTCAGAGCTGCTTTAAACTTAGATGTGATTCCCATAATGTCCAATACTTCAGCGCTAGACTGTGGAGTTTAGACTATAAACGTGGTCGTCTATTGTCACTTTGTTCCGAATGTTTCTCGGATATAAATTTTTGGCCAGTGATGCGGCTGACTGTTTTATTTGACTGTTATACTTGATGCGCGTTTGTGAGAATGTTTCCGGTCGTGAATCAAATGCTAGTTACAAGCATCCACGCATATTTGCTTTGCCTATTTTATATCAACAAATAAAGGGACTGATTTATTTCAAAGTTTCAAACTTTTTAAAGGTGCTCATTGCGGTCAAACTCTTGTCTCTTTTGCAGTTCCATCAGACTCAAGATATTCAGATGTAGAGATAAGGTCTGATGAGAAAATAATATGTTCTGAGATGACGTCTTCTGGTGATAAACAAAATTGGTGCAAAATAATAAGGAACTCTGATTTATGTTCTGCTGCCACAGTTAAAACAATAGGTACTCATGCAACTACAAAATACTGTTAAGTAGTGTGTTAGTCCTGCTCCTGATACCTGCTGTGATTTTCTGAAAGGGGAAAACTTAAGCTCACTTTCCTAGATGTTTGTTAACTAGGTTGTTTCATAAGAGTTCCTGGACATGTCATAGTGCTATTGAAAAAACGATATCAAACACATTAAAATGAATGCACCTTAAAAATTGCACCAAGTTTCGGTCCTTATGAAAAATGCGTCATTGATAAGACCAAGGAACCATGACGCTTGAAACTTGAAGGTGCAATGGATGTGGGTTCCTACCTTGTTTGTACATTGTAACAAACAGATATCATTTAAAACTGCCTTTGAAACAGATAAATGTTATGTTGTACAAATGCCTAAAACTTCTCAAGTGATGATTGTTTTCCTCCATCTTTTGTTTTTTTTTTAATTCTTTCCTTATTTTTGGATTCAACTTGCTGTAGTCAAAATACTATACTAGTTGATGGGGCTGAGGTTTGCAATGAAGACTCCATTCTTATCAAGGATGGAAGTGAAATTATTTCAGGTCCTCATAGAGAAGGTTCGAGTTGTTCTTTTTAAGACCTTTGCTAGTGTAACAATTCCTTTTCTTATTTCCTGGAATCAATCATGTTTAGTTTCATTGAGAAGCATTGGCACAAGGCTACAATCTATTTATTGATTCTCGTTAAACAAGGTTGTATATCAAGTTTTCAAATGGGGTCAACTGACTTGTTATACTTTTTCTCTTATAACATTGAAAAATTGATTTTGCAAAATTGAGTGACATGGATCTTTCATTTTTAATAGCTTTTGAATTGATGTCCTTTAGCAGCTATAGTGAATTAATGAAGAGTTTCTTTGGTATATCAAGTGAAAAATTCATGTCATTGACCATCACATTCTCTTTTAAATGTACAGAAGCATAAATTTAGCTAATGAATTGTTGTGATCTTAACCCTAAATTAAATTGCATGCAAAAAAGAAAAAAATTGATTACACATCTATATAGTGATCACTCTTTAACATGAGGAAAAAATTGTAATTGGCACCATCAAATACCAAACTTGGGTTTACCTATACTATTTGGTTCTTTTGATCTAAAAGAAATTGGTTTATGTTTATCGTAGAGTTGGATGAGTTTCTAAATTTAACCATTCAGTCTCTGGGTGCCATTTTTTAAAATGTCTTGACTGGTTTTTAATTACATCAGTTTTTCTCTCCTCTTAATGCTATTAGGGTTTGTCAGCTATAAATTTAATATCGTGTCTAGCGCAGAAACCAGCCAAAGGCAGCTAAAGGTTGATAACTTTTTTCCCTGCTTCTTCTTTTTCAATGCTTCCTCATTACCATTCCCATCTGTGGCAGAGCAGTGTTAATGACCATGTTTGATTTTGCAGATACATGTGGATGTTGACAATGTAAAATGCAGCATCTGCTTAAACGTATGGCATGATGTAGTCACTGTTGCTCCATGCCTACATAATTTTTGGTGTGCTTCTTATCCTGTTCATCTTTTGAGATCTCCCCTTTCATGTCACTGACGTCTGCTTGAACTGCAATCTGGCATTTCAGCAACGGTTGCTTCTCAGAGTGGTTAAGAAGGTCACAAGAAAAACATTCAACTGTACTCTGTCCTCACTGTAGAGCAGTCGTACAATTTGTTGGCAAAAACCATTTTCTACGAAACATTGCAGAGGTAATTTTATGCAGAAGTATCTGATGGAAACTAACTTATCTAGACCAGATATGGTTAAGCAAGTACGGGTTGTCTACATGAATATCTGCAAAATAGGGATGTAATTGCGTTATTGTGGATGGGAGGGGAATTTGATTCAGACCGTTTGACACATAAAATTAGGTTTATGCCCTGTTATCTAATTGTTGGTGTTGATATTTGTACTGGCTTTTGAAGGTGAGTTATTGTGATACCTAGCTTGATCCTATATTGATCAATCCATACTGGCTTTACCTCTATTCTTGAGTTTTTAGGTGATGCTGCCATTGTACTGTCTCCTAGGTTGAGATTTGATATACTTGTATTAGAGCATAGTTTCTTGTTCTAACACATTCTTATAAAACCTGATCTGATTTTAATCAGTAAGTTGACATTAAGATGATATGATGGGCATGATAGATAAAATTTGACTACTCTCCTCTCTGTACTGGCATATGCTACATTCAGCTGTTTTGCTGAAACTCTTGTTCATTTTAATTATGTCTTTTTATATCAGAGTGTGTTGGTCCTCTTATTTTGATCTATTCCTTTTCTTCTGTCTTTCTGTCATTTTCCCCACTTTTGGATAGGATATACTAAGAGCTGATTCTTCCCTCAGACGCTCAGATGAAGAAGTTGCACTGTTAGATTCGTATTCATCAATACGATCAAATCTTGTAAGATGATCTACTTTCTTTTGTTTTAAATGTATACCCTGAACTTAAGTACTATGATTGAGCTTACATGGCAAGGAGACTGGTATCATGTGTTGAAGTAGTATGCTGCCTTTTTGAAAAGGCAATATGCTATTAACATTTATTTGTCTCATTGGACATGCCATGTTAAATGAATATTTTTAATTCCTGCCTAGCACACAAGATGATTGATAATGTAGAATTGTCATCCATCTCTAGTTTTTTGCATTGCTTGGCTAGCTGTACTTGGTCTTTAAAACAGGAATGAACTTGATATTTAGTTTCTGTTCTTGTGTCTAACTGTATAATATCATGCCCATGTCATGCAATCTTTTTTTGCAGGGCGTTTAATTGTAAGTAATGTTATTATTGGCCATTGGCAAAAAAGAAAGTGTTGGCCAGATAATGGGGCTTTCCCTGACTTAAGGCTCAAGCTAAAAGCAATCAGACCCCTTTCGGTTTTGAAACATTGTTTGCCACCATGAATTTAGTTGGATTTCATGATCTTACATTGATGATTAATAATTTGAAATCATATTTGGTTAGGTCATTGGACCTCGAAATAAACGTCGTCGAAAGAGGGCTTACTCACCATTGGATGATCAAAGTGATGACACAAACCTTCAATGCCCACAGTGTGGTAATATA